TGGTGAGCATTATCAACGTCAAATTTCTTGGTCTTTCGAAATCGAGATTGAGAAATTTGGTAGTGATCCCTCCCATCTAGCTAATGGGCTATACGACGTGGTCTCACACATGCGGGAACGACGACTTAGCATATGTTGAGTTTTGATCAAAAACTCTTTATCTCCCACAAAGCTGTTGACACCATTCACACAACTCTTAAGGTGTTTCATAAACAGTGGTGTGGTCTGTTAGGCTTCTACTCTAAGGTTAAAAGTCTAAATTTAGTAATGAGTCATCCCAACCATAAATTTGTAGTTTAACATATTATAGTGGTTCATTAAAATTAACCTGAGTGTGCACACATTATTTAACTAGAATCATCATACACCATTCTTTACAAAATAGACATGCATGTTCAACGAGACAATAACATCCATCAAGCACCCAGAACGCATTATAACAATTTCTCATATTCATTTCAGTATGGAATAATCATAACGAAAATACAAAGCACAATAGCATCAATCGGACATTCTATAAATTATGCTTACATATTCGTACCATTCCATAATACCTAGGTTCATTCCATTGAGAAGCTAACCACCTGGGGTAAATTATACTATCTTGCATACAACCATGCATGCAACCAAGCAAATTCTATAAGTATTTCTTCCTCAATTTCGCGTGGTGACTTAGTTGATTGACGCATGCCCTTTCGTTTGGCGTTTCTACAGAAATTGGGTGACTAAAGAGTGATTTTCCTCGATTAGGTCATAAATCACATAAAAATATGATTAGAATTGGAATTGAGATAAAAATCGAGCAAATGAAAGTCAAACCGATCGAAAATCCACTTATACAAAAATATGGTTAGAATTGGATTCACGCACGAGTGCCACATGCGGAGGAAAATCTTAAGTTGCGGGTCACTGACCAGTTCGGGTCGCGGTTGAGGTCGAACTACAGGTCAACCGGTTCAACGAGTTGTAGATCGGATTGGGTCGGTTGATGGCTAGTTGGTCGAATCAATGCTGCAGCAGGCCGCGTGACACACAAAAAACGGAGCCGCATTGCTCCATGCGGCATTCGACGGCAGCTCCACCCAGAGCCTGACATGTGTCCTTCGTTTGGCTTTTCGATTAGTTTTCTTGAACTTTACATTTTTTAATCTTTTGATTTTTTGACGATTTCTTCTGCAAGGTTATTTATTGTAGTTACATCTAAGTCCTCAAATTTTTCTTGAATTTTAAACAGCATCCCAAACTAAGTTATGGATGTCGGGAGTAGGTATGTTACCCTTTCTTACCGTTCTTTAATGAGATCTCGAGACAACAGTTTTCGATTAAGATTTCGACCAAGTTCCTATGGAGGATCTTTCCTATGTGAGCATATCAAAATTTCAGACTTCAATTCACAAAGGAAATTCCCGTATCTAAAGAAGAATACTTAAGATCTTACCTTATAGATCTTCTCAGTCCTGGACGGAAAATAGGACTCCAGCCTCTTGAACCTCTCTATCCTTCCAAGAAAGGAGTCCTTGCAACTAGATCGTAGTTGGAACCAACTTCCGACTGTGTTCCGACTGTGGTCCAGTAAGTTTTCCGGTGGTTCTATCTTCCTTCTCTCTTCAAGATCTCTCAACTCTCTCTTTGTTTTTTCTCTTCTGCAGGTCCTCTGCTAGGATCCCACTTGCTGCACCCCTACCATGGCGGAGGAGCAAAATGACCACTTTGCCCTTTATTTCAATATTACATGAATCTTGTAGGAGTCACCCCACAAGAGAAATCCTCTAAAAAAGCCCACGTAAATGGGAAACGAGGGAGGCGCATTGAAAATATAGAATAAAGTTTTATAACATAATCTCTTTTATCTCTTTATGTTAATAATTTTGATTTTTTTTTTTTTTTGTAATTTGGAAATAATAGATACAAAATATTAGCTTTAACAAACAATTATATTATAATTATACTAAATTTATATCTTATTAAGTTTATTGAACTTATTATACATATACTTTACATTACACAATACTTTTACAAATAGTTTCATGGGTTGTCTCAACTTGATTTCAAAATTATTCCCAAACTTCACTAGGAAGGCGTGGATGTAAAACAACTTCCAATGGAGTTTTTCTTGGAAGAGTTAATCCAAATCCCTCTTCCATGGTAAGTAATTCTTCAGATGGCCTACCAATTTCAAATTCATGAAGTAGACTTGCAAGAGCAAAATGTATAAGTTGAAGTGCAAATGAGATTCCAGGACACATCCTTCGACCACTTCCAAAAGGCATTAGTTGCACATTTTGTCCTCTCATATCAAACTTTGTGTGGTTCGTTAAAAACCTTTCTGGTCGAAATTCAGAAGGATTCTCCCAGACATTTGGGTCTAATTGTAGCTTTTGAACATTCACTATTAGACGTGTCTTTGCAGGGATATAATAGCCTGAAACCGTACAATCTTCTACAGATTCATGAGGGAACAACAATGGCAGTACAGGATACAAACGCAACGTCTCCTTCACAATAGCGTGAAGATATGGTAAATTGTTGACATCAGATTCTTTCACTTGTCTTGATCTTCCAACTTTTTCATCTAATTCAAGTTGAGCCTTCTTCAGTGCCTCTTCGTTGTTGAGGAGTAGAGAAAGAGCCCATGTCATAGTTATCAATGTACTATCACCTCCACCCAATAGTACGGTCTACCTAACATCATCATTCTCAGCTATATACTAAGTAAAAATTAAGAAGTCTTTATGAACTAAAGTAGAAACGGTTGAGGATGGTTTGGAGGCAATCCCACGTTGGCTAATTTAGGGAATGATCGTGGGTTTATAAACAAGGAATACATCTCCATTGGTATGAGGCCTTTTGAGAAAACCTAAAGCAAAGTCAGGAGATCAGTGATTCCTAATATGGTATCAAAGTCATGCCCTAAATTTAGTCATGTCAATAGAATCCTCAAATGTCGAAGAAAGAATTGTGAGCCTCGAAGACGTAGTGAAAAGTGACTAGAGTGTGGAATAAATGATGTACTTTTTTCGAGGGCTCCAGAGAAGGAGTAAAGCCTCAATTAAGGGGAGGCTGTTCAAGGGCTCTATAGGCCTCAAGGGAGGCTCTATGGTATATTTTGTTCGAGGGAATGATTGTGGGTTTATAAATAAGGAATTGATATGATTATGATTCCTAACAAAAACATATATGCTTACCAAACAAGTGGCTTTAGTGACCGTGTCGACATCAAAACCGGCCAACTCTCCGGCGTGGTTGATAGTGGATAGCATCCCATCCATGAAGTCATGCTCCATTGTGTTCACTCCACCTTCACCCAAATTCTTCTTCTTTTCACGATGCTCTTCGACCCATTTAGTAAGCATCTCGTCCAGCACCTTCGCCGTCCTCTTCATGGCCTTCTTATACCCTCCAACATCCAACCAACTTAGAAATGGAAACGAATCTGAAGGAACAAATACCCCAAACAGCTCAAGAAAATCCCTCAACGCCTCTCTACACTGCGCCGCATCACTGCCTTCAAAATGAGTGCTGAATCGCTTTCCCACCACCATCTTGAATATTGTATTCAAAGTTAGGTCCCCAAACCACGTCTTCATTTCCACCAACACTTTCCCACTTGACCCTTTATTTATGCTGTCGCCACATAACTCATGCAGTTTCTTGATCGAGCTTTGAACCTCGGAGACTCTAATGTGTTGGAGCTGCTCGAGGCGGTGGCTCGTGAGGAGTTTAAGCGTGGTTATTTTCCGTACATGGCGCCAATATGGACCGTAGGAGCTAACCCCCAACGCTGCGTAGTTGTAGGCGAGTAGCTTTGAGGCAAGAGTTTTTGAGCGGGAAGCGAAGATTCTGTCGTTTGTGGTGAAGCACTCTCGCGCTATTTCCCAACTGCTCACGATAAGGGCTCTACTCATGCCTAATCTTATGGTGAAGATTGGTCCGTAGGCGTCGGCCATTTTGGCCAAGCTTATGTGGGTTGGCTCCGTTGTACTTAGTTTATGGAGGTGGCCTATAACTGGCAAAGCACGGCCAGCTTCGGGTGGAAGTCTTTTCTTCGTGCGGTGAGCGCCGGATGATCTCCAAGAAATATGAAAGAGAGCATAGAGAAATAGGAGAAGGGCGAAGTTTGCAGGTAAGAGGTGAGTAAGTTCCATTTGTTGTAGGCTTGAGTTTTACAGATTTGGAAGGATTTATATCATATTTAGAAAGGCTCAATAGTAGTGTGGCCCTTTTGATCCATTACATGCCTATCAATGGACCAATTAATAATGCTACATAATACATCTTTTGCAATAAATGTTAAACAACGAAATTCTTTGATGTGACTAAAACAATACAAAGTTATAAGCCATCAACTTAAAGCATATCTATGAGTACTAAATGCATAATTTGTAGAACAAAGATATTTGTTCAACCTAAGACGGCTAAATCAATATCAATATTTTACGATGATATGATGATATCTTATGTTACGATGATATGTATATATGAGATGTCATGTTGCACTATGACATGTATATGCTCGACAATAAAATGTATGACATGCATGTCAATGAAGAGTTTTATGATGCACAACTCTTTATTAGTGTTATGAATGATATAATATATGAAAACTTATGCATGCATATTACCTAAGGTAATATGTGAGGAATGTATGAGGTTGTACTGCATGGATGGTTAAGATGAAAAGTATAGGGACCTCATGCATACATTACTTACATCAAGATACTTCATCTTTTATGATGAGTACGGACGTGTACACTATGATAATGAGACATGTACACTATGATAATGAGATGACCATCATGACCATCATAATGAGATGATGATGAGATGACTATGACGTGTAGACGTGTATTTCATCTTTCATTTATTCCTCTTTCCATTTTTTTAGCAATTTATTTGATTATAAATAAAGAACTTTCACACTATTTAGGTCGAGTGGTTTTAGCAAATATTCTCATGGTTTCAGTGCCGTCACAGTTTAGCAACCCCTATATCCTTTCTTTTTAATGGCTTTTGAATCCTTCACTCATCTTCTTCTCCACTACCACGGCTAACTTTGACGCCGCAGGGGCAGTCTCCATGGTTGTCGTAGGTGGAGCCAATTGATTACTCTTCGACTCCACCTTTTTTACCTCCAAATCACCCTTCGATATACTATGTACATACAACCTCACCTTTTCCAACACAATCGGTTTTCCCTTAGCCAACATAACCTCTTTCATTTTCTTCCCATTCTTCCCTTCATCCTTCACAGAAACCCTAACCTCAGGATCCTCATCAGCGTTCTCATAGAAAATATACAGAATCTCGAGAAGCCTATTGACCTTCTGTAGAGATTTACCCTCGAAATTGAGTGCCGCATTGGCCTCTTCGCCAACCAAGTGGTCATCGGCCTCCTCGTCAAAATTGGCTCTTCGCCCACTGTGACGACTCTTTCGGCTTCAACATTGTCTTCGTCTCTTGCTCTGGGAGGTGTGGCTCCCTTTCTATCCATTGGAACTTCACCACTTGCTATGGCGTTGGCTACTTCTCCATCGGCTCTGCCTACTGCTCCATCGTTGGTCTCAACTCTCAACAATGGTGGTGCTGTGAACAGAATCGCTCGAGATAATCTTCACTCACTCTTGATGGTCTCTTTATTAGTTAGTTAAAATATGCTCGAGATAATCTTACTCGTGCTCATTTGCTCGATAGCAAATCAATCCACAAGGTGCAGACGTCACTCTATCTCCGCCCCTCTTTGTCTTTCTTTGTCTAAAATACTCCCAGAGTCCGCATTCTCAGTTTATTTCTTCTTCTTCCTCTCTTCTTCATAGTCACCATCAAACCCTCTCTCTCTATTCTCCTTCTTCCTTTAGGTTTCCCCTTCTACTTCGTGGATTAGACATATTATCGCAGGAGCCAAGGCAGCATCGCCGCTGAGCTACGATTCTTTTGCAGTTTTAGATAGCCAAGAAAGTGTTTCTTGATGTCTCCTCCAAACTAAAGTTGTTGATATCTTCACAAAAAGTGTTTCTCGACCTCTCTTTAAACTTTTCAGATCAAAGCACCACGTTCGTTCAAATTCGACGCTCAGCTTGCCAGGGGTGTTAAGGATATATAGTACCGAATTATAGTTTACCATATATATCATATTTGATCTTTCATTATAGACAAATATCTATATATTTGCATCTCATTACGGCTTACCTTTATTACTCTTTCAATATTCTTAAAATTTCTTTGATTACACGCAGAAAACTTTCATACTATTTAAGGTGTGTGATTTTAGCAAATATTCTTATTATGAAGCAAATTTTTTATCGATGGTTGTAAAACATTCTCTACCAAGGCCCTCCTCACGCCCAACCTTAACGTAAACATTGGTCTACAAGTGTGCCTTTTTCGCCCACGATATTTAAATGGCTCGGACACACATAGCTGATGGAGGTGACCGATCACAGACCAACCACTGCCGGCTTCAGGTGGTTGTCTCCTCCGCTGAGCACCAAATTTTTGGAAAAAAAGCATACATAGAGAAGAACCCGGCGAAGATTGATTAGCATGAAATTATTGTTACAAGTATTAATGGTAATATTAAATCATTAATTAGTTAGTACTAAACAAATTAATGCTAGTTAATTAAATTTGCTAATAAGTTGAAGCTCATAATGGACTGAAATAATTTTAAATTTTAATTATTCAATATAATAATACAAGAGAAATTAACTTTTTTTTTATTGATAATAATGCTTTTAGAATTAACCCAAATAATTGTCCTTTTATAATCCTTTTTAGTTATTTACAATATTATTTGTTAGGATATGGACCAAATCGACCCATTATTGTTTTGCTTAATTTTTGTTTAGTTGGAATCATCTCGATCACATCTATAACTTTTATCAAGAAATAAAAATTATCGAATCAGAAGTTCGAAAATATTTTATACAATAAATTCTAGTTTTTTCTTTTAGTTTTGGTTGTTACCACTTATTTAACGGTCCCATCCGACCAAAAAAAAAATTAATACAATTTGAAAAATTTTGAGTTCGAAAATTAATTTTTTCTCTCAAATAATTTCATTGTGACGTGATAGTGATATCTTAATTTTTTTTTTTTTTTTTTAAGATGGAGCAATCTTTCTTTTAATGACTTTTTTGTAGACAATATGTACATTCATTTTTCTCAAGTTTTCTTTGATCGTCTAACCTATCTTTCGATGTTGATTGGGACTTTCCATGTTCACCCTTAAATGAGAAGTCGAAAGTGTCAAAAGCAACTCCGAAAGTGTCAAAAATGACTACTAAAGTGTCGAAAATGGTATAAATTAGTCCGAACATATTAGACATGAGTTGGATCAACTGACCTCAAAAGGATCTAGAAACATTAAATTCAAGCCGAATCAACTAAGAAGTCAAGCTAAAGCTATCATAAAATGTATATAGACGACTAATAAACTATCTAGATGGAATGAAACGGAACAATTGTTATGACTCAGTAAAACAAAACCTCCCTTTAAAGTTTAATTTCTGCTTTTTAAATCTAACTATGGGACAAAAAAAAAAAAAAAAAAAAAAAAAATCTTTTCTATTTTTTTCCCTCTAATTTTGGTTGTTACAATTTATTTAACTTTATATATGGTCCCATCAAAATTAGAAATATGAGCATGAAGTGTTACATAAAATTGCCCAATCAATTTTTTTTTTTTTAGTGTTATTATTATTTTTAATTATTGTGTACTAAGCTGTCTGATAGATGAGGAAGAGTCCACTAATGATATGCAAATTACAAAAATGTTGTAGGGCTCACATGTCTTAATAGGGCTTAATAAAAATATGATTTCATTATGTGCCACTTTTCTATAGATTGGATGCATTCATCCACCGTGAGAGCAGCAAGAGAAAGAGAGCTAGCCATGGATGCCTTCTTTGTGCTTCTATTCATGCCTTTCATTTTTGTTATGTTCTCTCATTGTTATTACCGCAAAACAAAGCATTCAAATGGGGAAGCACCTGAGCTCCCACCTGGCCCTAAGCCATGGCCTCTTGTGGGCTGCCTCCCAACAATGTTGCCCACCAACTTGCCAGCCTACCAATGGATCCATGCAGTAATGAAGCAATTCAACACCGAAATTGCTTGCATACGTCTTGGAAGTACTTACATAATCCCTGTGGCTTCTCCACAGCTCGCTCTTGAGTTTCTTAAAACACATGATTCTATCTTTGCATCACGTTCCAACATTTCGAACACGGTCAATATTCTAAACGGCCACCATATTTGCACCTTTTGGAGAACAATGGAGGAAGATGAGAAGAATTCTTGCATCAGAGATACCCAATCCATCAACTCAGAATGCTTGGCCATAGAAACACCGAGGCTGATACTCTTTTACGCTATATTTTCAGCCAAACAAGTAATAGAGGTGGAGCGGTGGTTAATGTTAGAAGCATAACACAACATTATTGTGGTAACATAATCAGAAGAATGCTATTCAAATAAAAGATACTACGGCAAGGGAAGAGAAGATGGAGGGCCAACTTTTGAAGAAGAAGAGCATAATCAAGCATTATTCACAATTATTGGGCATATTTATGCATTTTCTATATCGGATTTCATGCCTTGGTTGAAACCATTTGATTTAGATGGACATGAGAAAGTTATGAAGAAGGCTTTGAGTGTCGTTCAAAAGTTTGATGAACCCATTATAGACGAGAGAATTTAAAGATGGAAAGATGAAAAATTGGAAGGAGTGAAAGACGACATTCTTGATATCCTCATTTCACTCAAAGATGAAAATGCAAAACCATTACTATCAGTCGAGATTAAATCTCAAATTACAGTAAGTAATGTTCTCGAACATTAAATTTCGGGACGAATTATAATTTACCATATATATCATATTTGACCCTTTATTATAGGCAAATATCTTGTATGCTCAAGGATATATCATATTTAACCATGAAGGCAAATATCTAAATACATACCTTCAGATACAGCTGAATGGGTATCATATTTGTCATTTTATTATAGTTAAATATCTTATATCCATTTAAGGATGTTTTTAGATTGTTGTTTCCATATGGTTTGTAATTTGTTTGATGGTTATAAATAGAGAATTCCTCTACCATCTAGGTGAGGTGATTTTAGCAAATATTCTCACTTTTAATGTCGCTCATCAGTCATATCATATCGTTAAATACTGATAGTGAAGTGTTTCGCATAGGAGTTACAAATTGCATCCATAGATAATCCTTCAAATGCAGTGGAATGGGTAATGGTAGAGTTAGTGAAGAATTAGACAAAGTAGTTGGAAGAGAAAGGATTGTTGAAGAATATGATATCCCAAATCTCAAGTTCCTCACCGCTTGTATTAGAGAATCATTTCGCCTTCATCCATTTTCGCCTTTCAACGTTCCTCATGTCTCAAACACTGACATCATAGTGGCTGGTTACTTCATCCCAAAAGGTAGTGAAGTGTTGCTTAGCCGTATAGGTCTTGGCCGAAACCCAAGGATTTGGGAGGATCCAATGAAGTTTAATCCAGAGCGTCACCTGAATGATAGTACAACGGAATCGGGACTATTAGAACCTGACCTACGATTCGTCACCTTCAGTAGAGGGAGAAGAGGGTGCATTGGTAGCACACTTGGCACTAACATTACATTGATGCTCTTTGCAAGACTTCTACAAGGCTTTTCATGGAGCTTGCTATCAGGAATGACAAAGATAGACTTCTCCGAAGCCGATGAACTCTCCCTCCCAAAGCCATTGCATCTGCATGCAAAGCCACGCTTAGAGCCACGCTTATCTCACGATATGTACCCTGGGCGTATTCATCACCAAGTGTAAGCTAGTTACAATAATGATGTCCAAAGAATAACAATAGCTACTTATATTCATATACATATGCATGTGTCAGGAGGATTTAGTGCAACTTATTGTTGGTTTGAATTAGTCAAATTATTAAGTTATTTATTTTTATTAGGAGTCAACATGAATGGTGTATTTGAGTCGAGTCTATAAGTTAGTTATTTAAGTTTAAATAGAAGCTATGAATGGTGTATTTGTATTTTCTTTGAGTAATAATAATTTCAGATTTATTCACAATTTGAGTGTTAAATATTGTGAACTTACTTTTGTATAAAAATTGACAACTAATCACATCCCCTCTATAAAAACCTAGTAAACCACCACGACATCTAAATACGCTTAAGAAAGCTTAACAAAACCCTAAAGCCACTTGAGTTACTATTTAGTGTAGGATTGAGACAAGGCTGACGCTTCAATCCCATTAAACCAGTCTCGAAGAGAGCCTAGGGACTATACATGTAGTTAGCTCAAGGTAAGGACTCCTATTGAGTGTAGAAATTAGTCAAAATTGCACCGCAAACCCACCTTAATAGGGGACAAGGTATTACATAAGTAGGTTATATGAGGGATCGCTACTATGTGTAGATGTCAACCGCCTTGAGAGGGGATGGGGGACTACATGATTAGACCACATAAAGAGACACT